TGAGTCCCAAGGTTGACAACCTCTCGAAAGCAAGACGGGCACAGAAACTGGGCCACAGGCGTGTGTGACTTCCTGGCAGAACCGACTGGCTTTCTGCTCCCTGGCTCCCGGGTGGAGGGAGGCACCTCCAACTGCTGCCACACTGTTGGCAAATGGCGTTTCCAGTCTGAGGGAGCGCACGTGTGACGGGCGCAGGCAGAGCCACGCTCGCCTGGCAGGAGGCAGTGCCAGCAGGCCCGGCCAGGAGCCTCGGTGAGCCCGGGGGCTTCCCCCGTCCAGGGAAAAGCACTGCTGCCACCAGCTTGGGAGATGTGCTGGGAACAAGCCATTACGGCATTCCCCTGCTGTCTCCCCGCTCGGCTTAGCTGTGGGCTCAGGAAACCCAGCCAGTTGTGGCGGTGACTTCCAACGATATAATCAAATAATCTATTCCTGGATTCCGCAAGTTCTGAAATGTCGGTAATTCAATTCCTGAAATGTCATATCCGAGCTGCCGGTGCAGGCGGTGGAGACAGCTCAGTAAACACATTCACCCGTCTGGGCTCACACGCACGCGCTGACCTTGAGCCTGGGCCGGCTGCCCCTGGACAGCCAGGGCAGCAGGGCCCCCAGGAACCCCGGGCCAGGAAGAGACAGAGAGGAGGGCACCCCAGGAGGTGTGCTGCTGGGGGCAGACCTGAGCTATGAAGTGGCCAGGAACCCAGGGCTGCTGCTCAGCAGCACCGAGGGCCTGCACATTGCCCTGGGTGCTGGGGACATGGGGGAAGTGCCTGTCCTCAGGGAGCCTAGTCTGGTACACAAATCACGCCTGTGAGAGCACACACACTCATACACGAGCATGCACAAACAGGCACAAGTGTTATGCACCCAGGCTCCAGGCCCAGGGCAGGTAAGCTAAAGATCACAAGGAACGGGGACCCCAGGCTGCTCTGACCAGGGTGGGCTGCTCCTAGCCGGCCGGGCGGCAGCGGCAGTCCACAACTCTTTCCTGAGGCTTTGTGGGCCCCTCCCCTTCGGCACAGGGCTTGCTGTGACATCAGTTCCAAGGGTTTCCTGGGAGCACGAGTCAGGGCACTGTGGTATGGGAGAAGGGCATTTCCAGCTCTTGTGATCCATGTTTGCCAGGGAGCCTAAAATTCACGTCTAAACCAACACACGGGGCTATGGCAGTTTTTATTAGGATGCTGCTTTACAGGTTACTTTCTGATGGTTATAAATTATCCATAATAAGAAGATTTTAGTTTTAAAAATGTCAATAAAGCTGGATGCTGTGGTATGCACTATCATCCGAGCTGCTTGGGAGGCTGAGGCAGGAGGATTTCAAGTTTGAGGCCAGGCTCAGCAGCTCATCGAGAACTTACCTCAAAATAAAAAGGGCTGGGGGTGTAGCTCCGTGGCAGGCACCTGCCTAGCAGGCACAAAGCCCTGGGCAGACACACACACGTCAACAGCCCCCACCCTTCAACGTCACCACCGCCTGCTCACCAACCGCATAATAAACATCTGTCAGAAACAGTAGCATGTTCAGAGACAGTTATCTTCAGGTGACCACACGCTGGAAAAGTCGCCTCTGGCCTTCACAGAGGGCCTCAGGGCCACGTCCAGGGTCTTCACTCTGGCGTCCTTCCTATCGCGTCACCCTGTGGTGTCACAGTCACTGCGCAGTTCTCCGGCGCCCTCCTAACCCACAGGACATCCTGGTCCTCACACTCTGAGGGAGCTGCCCACTCCCAGCGGCTGGCTGCCCCCAGCCCAGGAAAGTCCCAGGCCACGCAGCCCCCCAAGCAGGACTGGAATGGGGCCACCTCGGGGCTCTCATGCCCTCCAGGGGGAACAGGTGAGAAAGGAGGCAGAAGTCGGGAGGGAGGGCGGGAGTCGGGGGCACCCCACACCCCAGCCTCTGTCCCCTGGCCCTCGCAGCTCCTCCTGCACCCAGAGAGAAGGGCGTCACCCTTGTCCCCATGTTCAGGCCTAGGCCACCCCTTTCTACTCAGAAAGGTTGCTGCAGGCCCCTGTGGGGCCCTGTGGGCTCCAGGCCCAGCTCCCACATGGGCACCTCAGGCAGGACGCCCATGCTGACAGGAGCCTGTGGACCCTGCAGGGCACAAGACCATCTGGGGTCACCACAAGCTCTTCCCAAATGGAGGCCTTGAGGCCCTCATGCAGCCTGTGGTCCTGGCCAGGCTCCCAGCAGGGCTGTCCTACACCCTGGGCACCCTGAGTGGCCTCACCCTGCCAGTCACTTGACAAGTCCAGTAAAGACGGCACTGAGGAGGCTGTGAGCCAGACTTCAGCCACTCGACACTCCAGTACCCGGGTGGCCCCGATGGCCGGCACATCAGAAGGGGCAGCAGCTCTGCCTACAGACCACCATGCAGGGACAGGAAACAGCTTGTCCTCGTCACAGCCCAAGGGGCAAGATCCCAAGGAGGCTGGCTCCACAGCCTTTCCCTTCCTGCCACCAGAGGAGCCCAAACTGTGGCTGACGCAGAGCTGACCGCGGAGCCGGTTTCTAATGCGGACCCCGGTCCCTCCCTGGAGGCTTCAGGCAGTGGGTGTGGGAAGACCGGGCATCGGCACTGAGCCCACCAGCCCCTGGAGGAGGCCGTGGCCCCATCTGTCAGAGGAGCCAGTCCATCACCTACACACTCCCCCCGGGTAGGGGCAGCAGGTGGGAGTGGGTTGGACACGTCACAGCGGTTCATTCTAGAAGCTCCACCAGCAGCCAATAAAGGCATCGGGGCAACCGAAGCAGGTGCTGGGGGGCAGGCTCCACTCACCTCCCCCGGGACTCCCGCCCAGCCTCGCTCAGAGCTCTCTGGACCCAGAAATACTTTCCTTGCCATGGTGTCACAGTGACCTCAGAAGAAGGGCTCCGGGACCCTCTCCACTGCTCTGCCCTTTGCTGCACTTATAAAAATGAAAGTGCTTCCCTCTCAAAGCACATTTCAGAAACAAAACACAAACTCAGACGCAGTATGGACTCGAGTGAGGGCACCTGTGAGACTCGGGGAAAGCACCTTCCCTCTCTGGGACTCAGATTCCCAGCCACACCGTTATGACGTCCTTCTCTGACCTCACTGACCAGTAACGCAGGCCACAGTGGGCTGAAGCCCCACTCAAACCCTGTCATCACCCAGCGCCTCTGTGAGCCAGGACCAGGTCCCGCCTCAGCGTCCAGGCTGGGGACGGGGCCAGGTGTGTCCCTCCATAAGCAAACTGGCCTTTCCTCAGCTCCTGCCCTCCCTCCCGTCACGTCTCTCCCGAGGCAGCAGAAATGGGATCCCTGTCTGCAGACAGGCTCGGGACTGACAGGTCCCCAGTGGGCCTGCCAACTGGCAGAAGCCGACATCAGGACAGGCAGGGCCTCCGCGGCTCACCTTTCCTGAGGTTCGAAAGGGGACGAGGCGTCTCAGTACAGAAGACTCCCCTGTCCTCTCCTCCCTTGCAAAGCCTGGCCCCCAGCCTCCCTGGGGCGTGTGTCCCCAGAAGTGGACCCTGAGGAACTCAGGCCTCTCAGCCAGGACTCAGGCGCCTTGGAGGCTCTGCTTGTGGCCACTCCCCACCCCCCTCTGTGGGAGCACCTGCCACCCTCCCTCCCTGGCCGGCTCCAGGAAGCCATCACCTCAAGTCCCCAAACACAACTGGCTCCGCCCCAGATAGCCTGGGCCCTCCCGACCCTTCACTGGGCTTTCTTCCTCCCGATGATGTGAAGGCAATGAGGACAACTGATGGGAATGACAGGGACAGAGCGAATCGCGGCCGACTCCCACCTCTCCTCATTCGATGATGACCCCCTGAAAACCAGGTGAACTGGGTCTTGGGTCGTCCCTCCTCCCGTGGCCCCTGAACAACCTCCCACAGAGCCGTCCCACGGCCCAGGTACCAGCATGAGCACCTGGGTCACGCCACGTGCAACACCCCAGGCGGCCCAGGGGCCGGGTGTCCCAGGGCAGCCTCTCCAGTCCTGACTGGGTGGACGGAAGTCAAGTCACCCAGGTGAGGGCTGCCTGAACTCTGTGACCGCAGGGCCCATGTCTGCCCGTGTCCTTCCCACGTACCCCAGCACCCACCCGTGGATCTACTGGCCGGACGCCACGGGGGGAGGGGGCAAGCAAAAGGGCAATTATTAAGTCCAAGGTGCAGAGAGGGAGGGAGGGAGCAGGCCAAGAGGTGGGGCCTCAGGCACTTCCCCTGGGAACCGCTTCTGGAACTCTGCTTCGGAACCACTGGCCTGCAGGGACTTCAGAGGGACAGCGGAAAGGCACCAGGTGACCAGGTATCCAGAGAGCCTTGAGGTTGGCTCCGCCTCTCCTGGCCCCCACCTGCCCTCGATCATGGTCACCAGGAATTGCTGGTTTCAAGGAAGGGCTTCTCTGCCTGTTTCTTGTTTCCTTCCGTGTGCTCTGTTAAGTAACAGGGTTGGTCCAGGGTCTCAGCACCTGTCCCCTGTGTACTAACAGGCGACCACACTCCTGCGGTAACCCGGTCGCGTTTGTAGCCATAAACCAGAGCTCTACATTCCCCTTCTCCAGCCACTCCTCAGGCTGCAGGAGGGAGGCCTCCCCCTTCTGCTACTGGGAGGACACACCCAAGTGACTTCGAGGTGGGCCTTCTGCACCCTTCACCTGAGAGAGGACAGGCACCAGGCTCAGGTGGCAGAAGGGCCTTGGGGGCGGCCCTGGGGGAGGGCGGACCCCCCTGCTGCTCCCTAACACTCTTCCCTGTTGCGACACAACCTTTTCTGCCTGAAGAAGCGGCTGCTGTTTCATAACAGGAAGACAGTTGTGCTGCTGTGACTGTCAGGGTGACGGCAGGGAAAACACGGTCTCTTGAATTTCCCGTCTCTGCTTTGTGCAGCAGATGTCAATTCAGGGCGATCTGATGAAGGTAGGAAGCGCCCTGCTCTAAGACTCCTCGGAGGAGGGGGCGGTGCTCAGCCACGGTTCAACCCCCAGCAGGGTGGGATTCATCCAGTGCCCGGGGCTGGGGCCCGCCCCCTCGGCCTCCATCTGGCAGGGTTTATCAGCACCTGCAAGGCTTCCCCGGGCCAGGTGCAGGCCGCGCGTCACAGCTCGCACTGCTGACGGAGAAGCAGACGCTGCAAGCTATGAGGAAACACATGTGTGGGGAAAATGAACCCCGAAACAGCTGATCCCCTGGTGGGCCGGGGTAGGCAAGCTTCGCCATGTGGCTGTCACCTGCAGCTGCTGGCCTGGCCTGGCGTGTCCTGCACAGGGCTCCATCTCAGTGCTCTTGACCTTCAGCCGTTTCCTAAACACACGGCGCAAGCTCTTGGTAGGGGCAGGGGCGTACATGCAGCCAGGTTTGGGGGACAGACAGCCCACAGGGTCCAAGGGAAAGGAGTCTGCCAGGGGAGCCCAGGAGCCCAGGGTGGAGCAGCTGGAGGCAGGTGGACAGCAGAGGCTGGAACACCAGGGCAGGGCCTCTCAGGACTCGGGCCCCATGGCAGGCCGTGTGCTGTGATGTGGGGGGCCCGGGGCTTGGCTGTGCAGTCAGCCAGACCTGGTCCCCCTCCTCCCTTACACCTGGGCCAATTACTGGACGTTCCTGAGCTGGTCCCTCGCTGCAATTCAGGGAAACCGTACCTCACAGAGGCTGTGGGACACAAAGGGGCACTGGGTAGGACACCCAGCGGCACCCAGCTCAGAGCAGCCCTCCCAGGGCATCCCCCCTCAGGCTGTCCCTCTTGCTACTGCCTCAGACTGGCCTTCAAGGTCCAGTTCAAAGTCACTTCCCTGTCCCTCAAACACACAGGGCCTCCTCCAAGGACACCCTGGGCAAGGAGGGGCTGGCCTCCACGGGGCCTGAGTCACCCCAGACTGGTCCTGTCTCCCCTTCCAGGTGAGCGTAAGGCTTAGGAGCTGTCCTTAATGAAGCTGCCTGATCTTGCTGGGCAGAAGTTTATGCATAAAACAGAAAATACCTGTTTCCAGGTTGGTGCTGGAATCCGAGCTAATGAATGACATGTGAATACGTGAATGATGGATGAATAAACGGGCCTGGCACAGGTGAGCGTTTTATAGGTGTTGGTCATTGTTACCGCTGAAGCTATTGCCAGTTGGTTGGCACACGCATGGCCAGGTGCAGGGAGTGGGAGCACAAGGTGCCTTTTCTCCCACGGAGGAAGGAGGGCGGGAAGCAGGGAGGGAACTATTCTCTTCTCGGCCAGAGTCAAAGGAGCCTTAATGAGGTCATCCTTTACCTGTGAAGGAGACCGTGTGCATCTGTGGAGGCCGATCTTCAAATGCCTGTGAGGGGCAGCTGCCTGAGCCCGGAGCAGGAAGCAGAAAACAAGGGACACTGCACAACTGTTGACCTTCCCGGCCACTCCTGAGTGCCCCTGCAGTCCAGTCTCCAGGAACGCTCCTGAACCCCAGTTCCCTGCTTTCTTTTTAATGATCAGTTCATTCTGTGGCTGACCTGGCAAACTCTCAGCTCCAACATGCCCTCTCCTGCCCTGGCAAGAGCCCACCGTTGTCCCTGGAGCCTTGAGGTGTGGTGCACATGCTCACTTTCCTTCCTGTCCTTCGCTGGTCTGCACACTCCCTGGATGTAGGGGCCCTGTCTTCCTCTCTGCAGCATCTAATGTTGAGTGGGCTTGTGGAACTGAAGGGTCAATGAGGTGACCGTCGTTTGCAAAGCAGAAGATGCACCATGAGGTCCAACACGGGGTAGACCCACGGGCTGAATCCCAGGAAGAATCCCAGGAAGAATCCCAGGAAGCTTCTTAAACTGCCTGACACAGAGGAGGCCTCAGAAAGTATCTGTGGAACAGAGAGGGATGTTGGCCCCGGGGCTCAAGGGCAGAGCTGGAGCCCGTGGGAAGGAAGGTCTGTGAGCCGCAGCCTGAGGGAGGGCCAGCTTGGGAAGTTATGACTAAGGCCTCCCCAGTCGGAATGCAGTGCGGCTGGTGGGGAGAGCCACCAGGAAGGAATGCAGGCCCAGGGCAGGACAGATGTCACTTCAAACCATAGCAAAGGGACTCAAGTGAGGGCACTTAGCAGAAAGCCGGTCCCCAGGGATTCAGCCTTCTACCTTCTGGATCAGGAGGCCGCAGGCCTTCCAGAAAGGGCAGGGAGGAAGGGTCTTGGCTTGCAGCCGTGGGGTCTCTGTCTCAACTACGACTCTGCCTACGCAAAGAGTGGCCAGAGACAAGGGGGTAAATGGTGGATGTGCCAAGAAGACTTTATTTGCAGGAGCAGGCGGGGTGGGGGCAGTGGGTGCACAGATTTGGCCGGGCGCCTATAGTTGAGAGCTGTGGTCTGACCAGAGGGAAGCGGCGGGTCACTTGCTAGTCCATCCTGGTTTGTAGCAGCTCCTTCCCCTTCAGGCCCATTTCAACCACCCCAGGCAAACCCTCGGTTACTTTCACTTCTGCCAGCGTTCATTTTACTGTTCCTGCTGCATCTGTGAGCATTTGAAACTTTCCTACAATAAACAGTTGAGAAAAGAAACCTTCTCTGAATCCGACCTGCTTGGAAAGGTGATGATTTCAGCCCTGGCTTCTCTAACAGGGCCTGAGCTTCCCAGGGTCCCCACCCCAGGCTGCAGATGGTGCACTGGCCCTGGACCGCAGCTCAAAGTGCCGATGAAGGACAGTGTCGGGGCCTTTTCCCGTGGTAGGACACCTTCAGAGGAACATCCCTCTCATGAGATCACACTCTTCTTGTGGCTGTTGGTGTTAAGATGTCCTAGGTGTCGGGAATGCTGGTAGGAGGCCCCACACAACCCACTCGCACAGACTCCTGTGGGTTCTCTTTGAGGCCAGCAGGGCAGAAATACAGACTACTTGACAGATGAGGAAACCCAGGTGCAGAGGCGAGGCGGCCTTTCCAAGGTCCTCCCACAAACGACTGGAGACTGAGATCGGCCCCCTCACTGTTCATCCACCGGCCGGGGCCCTGGGGCCTAACTCTCTCTCAGCTTCACCTGGCCAACAAAAGCTCCATTTCCTGAAAAAATGTCAGCACAGAAGGGTCACAAGGTTCCTGGACGCGGTGGCACCTGCCTGTGATTCCAGCCACTGGGGAGTTGGAGGTCAACCTGGGAGACTTAGCAGTACTCTGTCTCATAATAACAATGCTAAACGGGTGGCTGGGGTGTCGCTCAGCGGTAGAGCACTTGCCTAGCATGTCCAAGGTCCTGGGGTTCAATCATCAGAACTCCGGGGCAGAACTGAGAGAGACCCCAAACGTGGCCCTGCTGGGGGAGTAAGGCTCTGATGTCCCTCCCTGCACAACCTGGAGGGCCTGAGACGGGGGCTGGCCTCTCCTGACCCCTGGAGTTCAGGCTCCACAGGGGGAGAGGTAAATGCAGCCACCCACACGCAGATTATAGCCTCCCACTTCTTTTATTAGACCTATTCCTAAGCTTCTTGTGCTTTCTGATGTGTACATAAATGGAATCGCTTTAATGTCCTTTCAGATTATCCATGGCAATTTGTTTTTCCACATGGGTTATACTCCACAACCTCCCTGAACACGTGTTTTATGTTTATTATTATAGTCATTATGTATACGTATTATACATATTCTATATTGGTCTGCTACTAGATGTCCGTACTCCCACCACCCAGTCTTGAAGCGCGTCCTTTCTTTTTCTCCAGCTGAACCTCCAGGGCAACGTGGGACAGGAGTGGCAGGAGCAGACATCCACCTCTCCTTCTGACCCCAGGGAGAGTGCGTTCAGCCTTAACCACTAAGTACGGTGCTGGCCCTTGTGTGTTTAAAAGCTTCAGCCTGGAATAGGCAACAGGACGCGACTTCTTCACGTAGTCAGAGGCGACCACACGGAATGCTCCGCATTTAGAAGTGGGTGGAGAGAGGAGAGAGAAGAAGCACCGGTGAACTGCCTCCCAGTCTTCCCCAGGCCTACGGGGCGGCCTCGCCCTTCTGAGAGGTACAGAGAAGGCTGGACCCTCGGGCTGGGGGCTCTCCGAGACTCAGCTGTTTTGTTTTAATGAGACAGAATGGAAAGTCTGGGAAAGATAGCTGTTCAGTTAGGTATAATAATATCAGAGGGGTATGAAAATCTTCAAGTATTTGATGTTACTTCCTACTTCACTTGACAGAAACAGACCCTGGTGATCTCAGAAAATGCATTGAAGATCAAATCACCACACCAGCACAGCCGCCAGTCAGTAGGCTGGGACCAAGAGAGGTCTGACCCTCAATGAAGAGATGGGGGAACAATGCATATTTTACATTAAAAGGTTTTATGTTCAAAATGCTGATTACGGGGCTGGGTTGTGGCTCAGCAGTAGCACACTTGTCTGGCATGCGTGAGGCACTGGGTTTGATCCTCAGCACTGAATATAAATAAATAAATAAAGGTATTGTGTCCATCTAAAAAAACTAAAAAATTTTTTTAAATGCTAACTATGCCTACATGACTTTAGTGACCGCTTTTTAATACTATGAATCAATCACCAACTTTACGCCAGGGCTCATGATACCAGGAAAGTGGTATTTCCATGAATAAGCAAATGTAACAGAGGTCACTTAGGCAAATGTGACAAAATATCTTTGTTTTTCTGCTTCCTCTTTATCACTTAGTATTTTCGAGACATTCTAATGAGCATGGATTATTTTTATAGTGGAGAAAAATATGATATAATGTTTTAAGAATTCACATTCCATTCCTGCCTAGTAATAATGGGAAGAAATTCAGAAACACTCCTCTGCAGTGGCCAGCAGTGCACAGCAGCCAGCAGCCAAGACGGTGATCCAAAGTGACGAAGCTGAGTAAGAAGGAAATGTGTGAGGGGACAGCAGAAAGCAGAAAGTGACCAGGAGTCCAGTGTGTGTCGACCAGCGGTTGGAATTCTCACGGGTACCCCCAGGGACCTCTGTGGGCCAGCAGCGGGGGCCTGGAGCCATGCTTGGGAAAGGACGCTGGCTGCTGGGCCAAAGGGGTACCAGCAACATCACGCCACACACACGCTGACACGTGCCCGGAGAAGGCCACAGTCCACGGGCTTCCAAGAAACTCGGCGTTACTGCCTGAGTGTTCAAACTCTGGGGGTTCGGACCTGCCCTGTACATCCCCAGCACAGGCCAGGCTCACGGGGGCACCTACCAACGGGACAAAAGCATGACTAAGAGCAAGCTTGCCACTGACGGATCAGGACACTTTCCTTCTTTAACTGGGGGGCTGGAGTGGTCCCACTGCCACACCCCTCCCCGCCCTCCTCAGACCACTCCCTCTCAAGGCTGAAACACCGCTGGCTAATCCTGACTTCATCTGAAAGCACAGGATACAAAGATGAAGGGTTTGGAAGCTGAACTGCTAAAGCAATTCGGCCCATGCTCTGCGCCAGGCACCACTGGGAGTGACATGAAAGAGGCCTGGGAAAGCCCCAGCCTCCCCAGGGAAAAAGTCAGAAAAGTGTCAAGGAAAGGGATGACAGTCCCAGCAGGGAGGTGAGCACCTGTGATCCCAGCAACTGGGAGGCTGAGGCAAGAGTATTGCCAGTTCAAGGACAGCCTCAGCAAGACATTTAAAAAAGGGCTGGAGATATGGCTCAGTGGTGGGGTGCCCCTGGATTCAATCCCCCGGTACCACAAAGATCAATAAATCAACATGGAAGGGGACAGGGGCTTCTATAAGGACCCAGAGATTGTTAAAGGGCCCTTAAGGAAGAGCAGCAGGCAATTGCTGGAGATTGACACCCCCGATCAGATCCTGGACCCCCAGGGTGGCAAGAGGCGCTTTCAACACAGGTAAGTAGGTGTAGCCATTTCAAATCTGCTTGCCTTCCTGCCCGTGGACCACACCTGGGGCAGCATCTTGCGGCTGATGACCGCCATTGGGCTTTGGAAGGCACATTTTGCATCCTAGTGAAATCCCTGTGACCTGCGTCAGTCACTAGCTGTGGGGCAAGCTTCCCCACCCACCTGACCCCGTGGTTCCTGCAGCAGGCTCTGCCCAGCCTTCAGAGGTGCTCAGAGGAACAAGGGGCGGCAGAATGGCCAAGCCAGTAGACAGACGAGCAAGATGTTCTGAATAGGGCCCCAGAGCTCTTGGAGCTGGACACATCGCCTGAGGCTGACCCCACATCTGGCTGAACTCAAGTGAACAGCATCAACCCTGGCCAGCCCCTGAGTGTGGCGTGTTCTGGAGACTTCTGGATTCCAGTAACGCAATCCCTGGGCTTCTCTGGGAGCACCCCTAGATGTGAAAACGGTGCAAAGAAGAGCCCTTCAGAAACCAGCCTGGGCAGAGGGAGGGACAGAGGCCTAAACTCTGTGACTCAAGGAGGGTCTGAGCCGTCCAGAGGGGCGTGAAGGAGGGAGAGGGGGAAGGAGTGAGAAGCATCCTGCCTGCACTTCACCCTCTCAGGGGAGAGAGTATGTGCAGCCCGGGGCACTAACAGAACCCCCCACACAGAAATCAACACCAGCCCAGGTCTGTGGGCCTCGGCCTGGTTGGCCAGTGACCCCCGCTGGATACCGGTCATCCCACCCTCCCTGGTTCTTGGTACTGTGCCCTCCAGGAGCTTCCATTTGCCTGAAGGACTGTTTTAGTTAAATGCCTCCACAAAGTGGGTGAGCTGGGGCAAGCCTCCAAGCCCAGCCCCGGTCGGGCATGTGGGCCCTGGGGACCGGCGGCAGGTTGGGTCTGTCTCCTTCCGCTCCTCCCAGTTCTGGGACAGGGATTTCTCCCGCCACATCCCCAGAGCCTCCTGGCCTGATGTCGGCA